ACACATGTCAGACAAAGATGTATGTCTAGATCATATAAGAACTGTAATTTGTAACAAAAAGGCAAAACAGTCAAAAGTGGACAATATAGTTGAATAGGCACCTCAGGAGAGAAGACCCACAGGTGTCAGTGCGAAAGGAAGCACCCCGGGGCATCCTGGGCACGGCACAGTGAACACGCCTGCGCCTCATGGGGGTTCCGGAACCTGTGCATACTGACAGTACAGCTGTTGGCAAGCATGTGGTTGATCCGTGACTGTAACTGTTGCTGACAGAGTATAAGATGGTATAGTTTGGAAATACACCTGGCAGTTTCTCAAAAAGTTAGACATCCACCCCTTTCCCCCAAAATTTCACTTCTAGATATTTATCTGAAAGAAAGGACATATGTGTCCATAATGCACCCTGCATGAGAGGCTTAATTCAAGAAACCAAGGACGAGAATGAGCCCTGGTGTCTGTCAGGCAAGTGGTGTTTGCAGGGAGATTCTCCTCAGCCTGAAAAATGTCATCTTCTGGTTCATGTGTTGATGTGCGTGCCTCTTGGGTGAAAGAAGCCAGACAGAAAACACGTGGTCTGTGGCTCAACTGATAGGAGTTTCTAGAAGTGTTCAGACAGGCCTGGGACCTGAGAAATCAGATTGCAGCAGGCTTGTCCTGGGGACAGAGGTATCTTCTAGGGGATGGACATATTTTGCCATCCCGTGTGGGTCCCAGAACATATGTTTTTGTCAGAAAGAACACACCACCATACATAAATGTCATCTAAATAAAATGTCTCTGGAGAGACAGACAAGAACTTGAATGTGTAGATCCAGTGATAGCTGGTGGTGGCGCATGGCAGTGTGTGCTGCAGACCTGTGCTGTCAGCCTCTGTACTAGTCATGCACCTACTTGCGGCCTTTCCATCCAGCATCCACTGTGTTCCTGGGGTGGGAAACAGCAGTGAACTGAAGGAACAAAAACCCTGGGGCCGGCATTCCCGCTGGCCTGAAGGTGGGGCTTTCCTCCAGGCTCAGGCTGTCCGCCTCTGGCTCGTGGCCCCGCAAGCTCCTGCCTGGGACTGTGGGGCGTGTCCGTGCAGCATGACTGTGGCAGGGCCCCTGGTCGTGATTTCCCTTAAGGGCCACGACTCAAAAACTGGAAAGGGTCAGAGGCCGCAGCTCCGATCCTACCAGGATAAGTATAAAGAAACCAGATTTTGATTAGTGGGAATTCTGGAAGAGGGGTAGGAGAAGTAATTAAAAATTTATGCAAAGGGAAATTCAAAATACTGAGTAAGTATCCACCTGGAGTCTTCCGACATCATTTAAACTTCTTACATTACTGTGCTGGTGTTCTTTGCCTCCCGTGCCCATGCTCAGTATCAGGACAGTCATACGCACGCGGGCTCCTCTCTTGTACATTTCTGGTCCTTCACTTCACAGATAGACCTCATTTTATTGTGCTTTGTAGATGTTGCTTTGTTTTACGAATTGAAGGTTTGTGGTAACTACATGGAGAAAGTCTGTTGTATTTTTCCAACAGCATTTGCCCATTTTCCTGTCTCTGTGTCACGTTTTAGTAATTATTGAAATATTTCAGATATTTTCACTATTATCATATTTGTTATGGTGATCTGCGATTAGCAGTCTTTGATGTTACTGCTGCAAGTGTTCGGGAGCACCATGAACTCCAACCACAGAAGCTGGCGAATTTAATAAAGGTCTGTGTTCTGACTGCTTCACTCATCTCCCTCCTTTCCTCAGGCCGCCCCAGTCCCGAGACACAACACTGACATCAGGCTGGTCAATAACCCTTAGAGTGTCAGGTGAGAGGGAGAGGCACACGTCTCTCAATCAAAAGCTGGAAGAAATGATCAGGCTGAGTGAACAAGGGCATCACAGCCAAGACGGGCCTAAAGCAGGGCCTCCTGTGCCCACCAGCCAGCCAGGGTAAAGGTCTGGAAGGAAATGTATGTGCTCCTCCAGTGAGTGACAGGGAGGTGAAGCAGCCCTGTGCTGGTGGGACCAAGCCTTGGTGGTCTGGGTGGAAGATCAGCCCAGCCGCACCACAGCACCCTCTGAAGCCAAAGCCTCACCCCGAGCAAGGCCCCGGCTCTGCAAGGCAGCGAAGGCTGCGAGAGGGGAGAAAGCCACAGGAGAAAGTCTGAGGCTGGCAGAGGCTGGCTCTGAGGCTCCAGGAAAGGCGCGTCTCCACGGCATCCGAGTGCAGGTGAGGCTGCAGGAGCTGGTGGGGGAGCCGTAGCAGGTGTCCCGAGGCCCCGCTGAGGGGCCCCGTGAAGGCGGCTGCGCCACCCAGCAGGTTTCCCAGGCAGATGGAACAGCCTTCTGTGGGGAGAAGACGCCATCCAGGACCTCCACAGCTGCAGAGGAGAGTCAGCGCCCGGCCCCCAGCTTCCGGGGACAGGCTGGCTCTCGTCAGGGGTGAGTGCGGCTGGGGCTTCAAACAGCAGACGGAGGTGAGGCTCTGAAGCACTAACGATTGTGGCATTGAGTTCCCTCTACTGCAGGCATTGCTTTTGGTGAAGGAGGTAAGTGGAAGCCCATCCCATTGCTGCCCCTTGACGCCGTGGGCGGGGTCTCCCTGCCATCTGCCCTCTTCTGAGCCTAAATCCTGGCTCCAGGTCTGGGACCAGCCTTTTCTCACATTTTTCCTCCCGGTTGCTGGGTCCCCGCACGCATGAATGTTTCCGTGAACCACAGGGTGGTTGCAGGAGAC